ATAAAAGAGAGAAAAAATTATGACAATGATATTATTTTTTTCTTAAATTTTGTGTTATTATAATTGTAACTTAAACTTAAAAAATTACAAAATATGTAAATTCACTAGTTTTTTTAATTTTTATTTTATATATCATGCAAAAAATATTTTTGTCCAAGTAAATTTGTATCAAAATCTTAAGATTATTTGTATTAATTAAAATAGATGAGATATCCGTAAATATTCGTAAATATCCGCAAATATCTATTTATTTTCCGGATATCCGTTTTTCCGGATATCCGTATTTTTTCGAAGCAAAGCAAATACCAAAATTAGATATTTGTAACATTCGAAGCAAATCACAAATACCTTAAAAAACCCAGATATCCGATACTTAAAACAACACTTCCCTTAGCCTTGCAATCAGGTTTCGTTTTGCTCATCTCCGCACCATACTGAATTGATTACACTTGTGTAGAAGTTATGCCCACTTATTTTGAATTAGGATTTTAAGTGTCTACAATGGGTGGCTTTATTTTTATCTTCAAAAATTCAGTTTCTTTAAAAAATGAAACAAATTTTACTTCAACTTATCATTAATTACTAACAACACATGTTTTTACTATTGTTGTGTAATTATTATTATTATTTTTTTGCTAACCGAGTATCCTGACCCCACTGAAGTGGTCCAGACTAGAGACCAAAGCGAGCAAGTACACTGCCAGGACGTCACCATGTGGCTCACCTATAACAGTCTTCGGTCTCGGATGCTGCAGTACATATATAAATTCCGCAGTAGTCAAGACTCGAACCCAGGGGCGGGCACTCCAGCTGGAGCTCCTTTATCACTAGAACAAAGCAACTTGGTTATTGTGTAATTATTTTGTTTTAATAGTAATCCAACAGAATTATTAAATATAAAGTAAACATTATCATTTCATAAAAATATTATATAACATAAATAACAAAAGAATATATCATATTTTATAAAAATTCTGTATAGTTGACTAACATAAGTGTTTTGAAGTAAAATAAAACTAGTTTATTTATCTTTGATTCTTCTTAATCGAACTAAAATCTAAGAAATTCATATTTTCATGCAATTTGATACAAAAATCTGATTAGATGGAAATAATAATTGAAATAAGAAATTAATTAGAGCATATTAATGTATATGATTTAGTCTTGTAAAAGATAAAAATAATAAAAAATAAAAACCAGTTTATAATTTAAAAAGTTTGTCTTAAGAAAATGAAGATATGAAGAATATGTTTTCAAATTTGAAATAACATTGTTCATTGTGTTATTCCGAAGTAAATAAAGCTAGGGTTGAGCAATACTTTCTGCAAAAATAAAGAAAAAACTGGAAAAGAAAGTAAGGTTTATACTTTGATAAAAATAAAGTAAGTTTTAGATATACAAATGTCTCTTTCTTTAAGGTATGCATATGGTACGATAAGTATCTCATGAGTTTTATGGTTGATGATTTCTCAAGCAGAATTGTTTATAAAAACTCAGAAAAAATATATTAATTGCATATAATATCAAATACTTACTATATAATTAATCAAATTATTTATAAAAGGTAAAATTTAACTAGAAAAAAATCTTGTTTTATCTTTTTCATGGATTCAGTTTAATTCTTTTGCCATTGTCATTATTATCTAACCATTTTGTATTGTTGTACTATACCATTAAAAAGATTGAATAGGCTTATATTAATTATCAGTTAAGATTGATAATATGAATACGCAACAGTATTATTTGGGGAATTAGTTTCTTTTTAATTTTTATTTCCCAAAATAGCACCCAAAATTCAGAGTAAGCAAACTAGGTTTCACTAAAGAGGTAATGACAATTATATCCACACTTTTAATTTTAGTTAAGTATTTATTAAATATATAAAACTAAATAAATAATTAAATTTCGAAAATAATAAAATCATAAATAATTTTCCTTTTTCTATTTTTTTTTTAAAAGTGAACTGATTTTTCTTAAAAGAGTTTAAGAATACATTCGTCAACGTGTATGATATCTTGAATTTATTAAAAAATCTCAAAAATACACTTTTTAATGTGCAAATAGAATTCTTAAATGTAATTTGTATGTATATTTAGGAAGAAATTTCTAAATTTTTATGTCATCTTATTCAATTTGATTTAAATGTATACTTAGAAAATTATTTTTCAGTATATAACATCTCGGAAAATATAGGCAGATCTTTTTAAATATGTATAATATCTTTATAAAATTTAGATATCAATTTCTTGAAAGTCTTCCGAAAACTGTTATATATATTTAAGATTATCTGATTAAATATACATATAATTCAAATTAAGTAAGATATTCATAAATATACATTTAAATACATATTTATAAAAAAGGTTCTAAATATTATAAAGATATTATACATACTTACCCGTATATTCTTAAATTTAGCAAGATATCTTACTTATTTAAGGAAAGTCTTACCAAACTCGTATATAGAACGATATTATACACATTCAAAAAATATCTTCTTAAATTCAGAAAATATCTTACATACAAAATATTAGGTAGTTTCTTTCTAAAACGAGAAAAACATCCATTAAAACCCCAAACTTTCAAATTAAAGCCAAAAAACGTCCAGTTCGTGTTTAAACATCCATTATATATAATACCTATATATCGATTTTTAAAATATAAATCATAAATGAAGTTTAAATTATTAAATTGTAAACGGACTAATATTGACAGTAAATATTATATGTTTTCTGTTTTAATTATGGTAAGATTTTAAATAAATTTACATAATATTTGATAAAAAACTATAATGTCTAAATGAGATAGCTTGGTTATTGTTTGATGAACTACTTTTTGACATACTGATGTATTTAATAATGACTTTGTATAGGTAGTTGTTATATTCTTCAAACTTTTGATAATGTCTATTATAGTATTTTTAATAAATTTTTGTTTTTGATGTTGAAGCGGATAATATTTTTTTCCAATTTACTGAACAAAAAACTATAAAATATTATACCTGATAATTCAAATTTATATAACTTTATATTTACTAGTTCTGTTTAAAATTTATATAACTTTATATTTATTAGTTTGTTTAACTTTTCTCCAATTTACTGAACAAAAAACTATAAAATACGATGATTAGTGTATGTTTTTGTTGACACTGATTTTCGATCGAGCTGTTTGACCTTTTTGAATGATCAAAATTGCTTTTGGTTTCTCTTCTGTGTGTTTTTATTTATTTAGCATGGATACTCGACTAATCCTAAGGAGAGGTTTTATCTATGAATAAGCTCTCTCTCTCCGGAAATTCAAACACGACTGAAGCCAAAAGCATGGTCTCATATATGTGGCCACACATGTTTATTTTCTGTGATTACTTTGAACTCGCTTAGCTTTTTGAAGTCTGATTATCAGACCCAAATTTAAGCAAAAAAAAAAGTCTGATTATCAGACTGATATTAAAATGAACTTTAAGCCCATGGCATAAAATTGTTGACTTGTTGCCCGTTTATTACCATGTAAAATTAAACAGGTGTTTATACAAGGTCAGCCTGTTTAGGCATGTTTCATTAACGGGCATACCCGTTACATAAACGTGTATCAGATTAGATTTGTGTATGATGAATTATAATACTGTATTTAAAACTAATGTATAGGTGATGTTTTTTAAAAATTTCCTATTTTCTAATTTGTGTTTTGAAACAAATTAGTGTGTTATATTTAGTTTGTATTTTTTTAAAAAAAGTTTGTTATAATTGTGTTTAATAGAATTTGTTGATATTTTTATAATATGATAAATTGATTAATATTAAATAAAAATTAAAGTATTTTTAATTCAAAAGTTTTGCTTTGATTTGAATTTCTATTTATTATAAAATTTTGAAATAAAATAAAAATGGTTTATTAATAAAACCATGTTGATATATAATAAAGACTAGGGAAAATTCCATATAAATACCCCAACTAAATTCTATTAAGCTTTTTAATATCCAAACTTTTTCATTACCCAGTTTAAAACCTCAACTAATTATTCTGCCCACTTTAATACATCAACTTTTATAACTGTATCCATTTTAATACTCAAACTTTGTTTATTTTAATTAACAATACTAATAAGTTTCCAATGAAATTTTAAAAATGTCTAAACTTCACAAAAAAATTAATTTTATTATATGTTTGAGTAACGAAATTAAATAATTTTTTTATAATCTTAAGTTTTGTAATAAGTTTTTTAAGTTTTATATATTGAATTTAGTTTGTTTTTTTGAAATAAAAAGTAAATTATTTTTTTTCCTTCAAAAACTTTTTTTTAAAAACATTAAATTTTCTACAGAGTTTGTTTACCTTATTTCTTAAATCTTCAAATAAACTTAGAAAATTTAAATATTTTTTCTTAGATTTTGGAGATTTTTTAAAATTTCGTTTGAAATTTATTAGTATTGTTAATTAAAATAAACAAAGTTTGAGTATTAAAATAGATACAGTTATAAAAGTTGGTGTATTAAAATGGGCAGAATAATTAGTTGAGGTATTAAACTGGGTAGTAAAAAAGTTTGGGTATTAAAAAGCTTAATAGAATTTAGTTGGGATATTTATATGGAATTTTCCCTAAAGACTATTAATAAAAAAATTGTATTTACAAAAAGAACATAAATAGGCCTAATGAGAATTTTTTAGTGGGTCTGAAACTAACGAGCTTAAACGGTATGTATATAAACATGCATGATAACAACTTAAATAGGCAGGGTTTAAACGGTCCGTGCAGTACGTTTAAAGAATTAAATACACACTTTTATCGTTTTAAATGTGGTTTATCGTCTCTGTTACAACTTTTAAGGCTTAATTTTTTTATTGCATTTGATTATGGAATTGTTACCCTTTATATAGATGTCACATGGTGGCTGGCTGACTGCTAAATCCAAATATATTTTAATTGCATAGGGAAGAGTTTACTAAAAAGATGGCATCTAAGTTTCTACAACTGAAATCAAAGGCATGTGAAGCATCCAAGTATGTGTCAAAGCAGTGCACAACTTACTACAAATAGTTGGTCGAGGAGAACAAGCAGTATATCCATGAGCCAGGCACTGTGGAGAAAAGCATTGAGCTGTCTAGGCAGCTTCTCTACACTCGTCTCGCTAGGTATATTTCTTAATGGTCTCTTTAATGTTTCTAGATATGGAATTCGGAAACTCTTAAACATCTTCTTTGTTGCTGTGACTGACTTGTTTACGTGGTTTGCAACATTCCTGGACGTACTTAGTCTTTCTGGAAGGAAGTTGATCACGTGAAAGGCTTGTGGAAAAATCTTGCGGATTCGAAGGTTGAAGAGGCTGGGACTGTAGCACTTTTTGGTCTGGATTGCTTCGTATGGTTCTGTGCAGGTGAGATCGTCGTAAGAGGCTTCACTATCACCGGCTACTACCCTCCACTTTCACTGGCTACTATCCTTGAAGAAACAAAGAAACCCTCCCCACTAACAGATGCATCCATTGAACGTTGAAAAAACTTTTAAAATCGTAAACTGGTTGTTTAGTATCGATCTCAATGCCGACATTAGAAGCAGAAGTTAGTTTCTTTTCTATCTCTGTATAATTTATATACACAAAAAAATTTAAGCTGAGGCATCATGACACTCATGCTAGCTCTTTAATAATATCAGTCTGAGAACTTGTTTGCAAGTTTCTTTTTTTAGTTTCATAATGTTAACCAAATCATTTTCTTTCTCACAGCAAGATAACAAAGTTTGGTACTTTTAAAGACTTTTGATGGTGTATCATCATTGTTATTTCAGAATGGTTTTGAACCGTTTGGTAAGAGGTCTGTCACTGTTTCTGAGATCCCTGCTTAAGGTCTCTCTGGCCTTGGCACTAAAGTCATCGAAGAAGAGGACTGAACAACATTTGATGACTTGAAATCTGCTTCATGTTGCCTTTGAGACATGGAATCTATAGTTTGCATCAATCATGAGAGATTATCTAGGAAAACCATTCTATTTTTAGTACTATTAGCAAAAGAAAAATCAAAACTTGCACTGTTGCTATCACAGATTTACTCTCAAGTGTATTGGAGTGACTTTGGTCTCTACCTGGCTTTATATGCATACATATAGTTCCTTAGCTTTTTCACTTCTTCAGATGATTCCTCCAGTAGATGGTCCACGTATAGACAAGTTCCAGCTCCGCTTCAAAATTCAAAGTAGAGCAAGTTGATACAAAACATTAGTGTCACAAGCACATGATATAATATACGATATAGGTTATAAATACAGGATAGATGCACCAACCAAAGGGGACCAAATGGAAGCCAGATAACATCCCACCGAAACTTTGGAAGCCTAGACCAAGAGGGAGAACAGATTATTAGCACACTCTAATAAAACGAATTGACAAGTTTGATCCAGCATAAACAAGTATTAAGTGGTACTAAGAGTTGAGCCGACATCTCTGGAGCTATACATTGAGCACTGTCTTCTCTTAAAACTAATAGTGGTAATTATGAATGTCTATCAGATGTAAGATGGCATCTGAAAGGATGAAAATGTATACTCTCTAGTGTATCTACCTCAGTAAGTAATAAAGCCAGAAGATGGTCAATGCAGATCCAGGAACACACGAGTACCAAAACCACCGTCTATGATCATTCTTCTTATCTACTAGCCCGACAATTGAGAGGCCGCAAGCCATGATAGCAATCAACTCTGATACATAAATTCGGCATGAAAACTGTTATTGTTGTAAAAAAATCAAATAATACTGAAGATCAAGTAGCAGAGTCTTGTGACGGCATTAAGGTTTCACTAAATAGGTTTAATAACTATACTAGAAGAGAAACAACAAAGATCAATCCAATAGTATTTTTTTTTTATCAATCCAATAGTATTTATTCTACACTATTCCATCAACAGAATACAGCAAAAAGATTGACCAAGTGAAAGTGGGCAATAGACTAATATACATCCAACATATCTGTTTCTTTCCAAATTGGCACAAGAGATTACACTGTAAATCTCCACACAAGCTGTACCCCCTAACATCTCTAACGGCGAGTGAAAAATGCAATAAACCATGGCTTCAAAGTAAGAACACAAGAGATGTAAGACAAACCAGCTGAAATGACCATCCATGAGTTAAGATCTTCCTCGAAATAGGCATGATACCGCTGCTCACAAGAAAAACAACATCACCTCAGAATCCATCAAACACAGAGAGTACGTACAATATACAAACCTTTAAATAAAGATACATCCCTATACGTGGTTCTAACACGAGCGAAACATGTGCACATATAAAAACCTTTCCACGTATCAGAACTCGGGATGTTACAATAATTCCACACGCAAACTCAGTGTTATGAATACAAAAAAGGTAATCAACTTTAGTATACTCCCTCTGTTTCATTATAAATGTCATTTTAATGCACACAGATTAAAAGAAACAATTAATTTTGCATATTTTCTATATAAAAACACAATTAACTATATACCTAACCACATTTTATCCAATAGAAAAATAAATTACATAATAAACGCAATGAAAACCAAAAACTACACTTATTTTGTACTATCAAGTCTCTAAATACAGAATCTAATAAGTAAAACTTAGTTTTTAATTTGAAACCAAGGAGAACACTGTACCAGCTCCCATGGTGACATGAGCTGCTGAAAACTTGAGTGGAATAAGAAAGCTCCGTAACAAATCAGAAGAACCGCGAACACACTCTACATCACAAATCAAGAATCGAAACATTATTTAAACACACACAAATTTCAAAATTCGATTAAATTTTATTAGATGATCATCATTACTTTCCATTGACGAGTTTGCTGAGCGTGAGCTTCTTCGAGCGATCGTACGTACTCTTCTTGCTCTGTAAAAAAAAACAAAGTGTTTACGAATCTGCTGAGTAATTAATTAATTAATTAAAAGGAGAGAGTAATAAGAAGAAGGGACCTTGAGTATCGATAGGGCGAGAATCGATGTCGTCGAAAGTAGGAAGGACGAACTTATCATCGTCGTTGTCGTCGTCGTCGTCGCCGCGGCGAGTTCTTCTCCGCCATCTTCTCGCTAACTTCTCCATTAGATTTGTTGTGTTGGGAGAATTTTTTAGATCGAAGTTTTAGCAGATGAATTAGGAAATGTTCAACGTCGTTAGACGTCGTAGTCTAACATAGGCAAAAAAGTCATTTCGAGTCTTTCAAGTTACGGCCCACTAACAAGCCCATTTATTGAGCCCACAAAGGGAAATATCCCATCTGCTGAGAAAACAAGTGTTACATGAAGCTGAGGAAGTTTTATTTGAAATTTTGAACCTGGAAAAGGATGATATATTTGTTTGAAAAAAATAATAAATGGGAAAAAGGGAAGAAGAAAATATTATACGTACTTTGATATAGAAAATGTAATATGTTTTGGAGAACTTAGAAAAAAAAATTTGTTTGCTATGAAAACTTGTCTTATGAAAAAAAAGTAAATTTTGGGAGAATAAAGAGAACTAATGAACTTTTGTTTTGTTTTTATATGATTAAAAGCATCTTCAAATAGACACTCTATTTTAGAGTTTGCAAACCTCTATATATGAAATTTGTAGGCAGTAGGTGTTATGTTTCAAAAGCAAAATTTCAAATTTAATTTTAAAATTATTTGTATTTTATACTATGATTCTTATATTTATCATAACAAATTCAAATTCATAGAACTTCTATAAATAACTAGCACATATATAAAAATATTACAGCAATATTAAATAATAAAATGTTACACTAAAATATAATATTATTAATAGGGAATATATAATTAAATATTAAACTATAAATAAAATACCACATTAAGTCTTGTAATATTTTTGTTGTCTAATTCTAATTTTAACTATTTTAAATCTTATCTTGTTGTTTTTTCTATAAAAAAAATATGTGTAAAATTTAAATTTATAAAAAAAAATTGAAATATTTATGAGTAGGAATTTTAAGGGTTAAATATAAACCGTACAATATATAAGAATTATAAATATAATGTATAATAGTAAGGACTCAAATACAAATAAAAATATAAAACTTCAAATTTGAAGTTTTGAATAATGATACTCTATATTTGAAGTTTCACTACTTAATTCTTTTTTGGAGAACGAAAAACTTCATATTTGAAGTTATAGAATGTCTTTTAAAAATGCTTTACGCGTTAATGTTATTGGTGTGAATTAAGTGTTGACGTTGTTAAGTAACGTAATTCTAGATATTTTGGAAAATTGAAACCTAGATACGTTTTAATTGTGTTATTTTATAAAAAAAATATTATTCTCTCTGTTTCATATTAAGTGCCGTTAGAGAAAAAGTTTTGTTACAGAATAAGTATTGTTTTCGACTTTCAATACAAAATTTATCAATACTATAATAATATTTGTTTTTCTATTAGTTAAAATGTGATTAAGTATATATGTAATTGTGTTTTTATAAAGAAAATATGGAAAATTAATTATTTTTTTTAATCCGTGTGTATAAATTTAATTTGATACTTACTATGAAGAGAATTTGCACTCCCTACATACAACTAACACCCTATTTGAATTCTCTACCTTATTTCCCCCAGTTTTTACTCTCTCCATCATCAATATTTTTCTCCAAACTTAAGGTATTCAACACCTTTTAGTATTTTGAGAAAAGTGACTCTAATATGAATCATATGGTGTATGGTGTATGGTGTATGGTGTATGGAGTCAAAGATAACGATATACCAAGAAGTTGTGCTTGATTTATGTGTTTACAAATTTGTTATACTTGCTTTTTTGTTCTATTAAATCTATGAAAAATATATGTTTCTTTTGTTTTCTTTAGTCACATCTGTATATTCAAATACAAATGACTAAATTTGATCCATGCCTTGATCATGTTATTTTTCTTTTGTTTCACTAAGACTATGAACACAGATAAATGGCAATACTATAAAACTTCCAATTCATATCTGGTAACTAAACCTGATGCAAACACTTTTAACCTAACAAGTAACAACATCTGGGTCCATGCATGTGTGTGTACCGATACAAGTACGCGTGTAATGTATATCATTTTTACATTAATGATTTATAGGTTTAGAGTTGTTGTAACTTGTAGAGATAAGTCCATGAATATAATTGTGAAGCAGCTCGTAATACGACACGAAGACGAGACCAACGTAGTAAACTTAATGACGACGTTGATTATTAATTCACTCGTGGGACTCTGCTAATAATAGCCTGTAAGCATGATCCGCGTGTGAGGTGGGGACTGATCTGACGTCTAAGATTCTTCCAGTTGTCAGATTGACCTTTGAATCTCAAAAAAGTAGCATCCACTTGGAAAATCCTAGCGTCTAGCTAGCGACTCCAAATCACACGTGTGTTGTGTATGTTAATAATACTAGTAAGAACGAAAATTTGAAATGTACAATATCCATAATACAAAAGAGCAGAACAAACTTCTTGTTTTTATAGTAAAGACTGTAGACTTAGTCCCCTGAGAAAAAGAAGACCAAACGAGAAATGATCACTTAGTCTTAAAATAGGTCCGGATAGTTATACTTTCTTTAATTCTGGTAAATTAGCATTAGTCACGGATATTGATATTTAAATTTGTATTCCTCAAAGTTTAGTTGTTTGCGAAATAAATTATACCACAAATATATTTTAAAAAGAAAGTTTGATAAGTCTACACCTGTACTTGTCACAAATTTACAAATATAAATTTCTTTTATCGTTTGACTATATATACGAGCAACAAAATATCACAAATGTGTGCACTATAAAAATACACATGAACTTAAAGTCAAAATCATTCACGTACAAAGACTTTCCAAGCGTGTATATAAGAGGCGCCCAAAATTTTACGCGTTACTATTCGAAGACGCACAGCACGTAACTGATTTTGAAATGTTTCACTAAATTATATACTTAAAAATATGGTTTATGCGTACCGACGATTACTTAATTCATTAATTGGTATATATTATATAAACCAGAAACGAAAGATGTATGATCAGTTGACATTACATACACATGATCAAGTATAAAACGAATATATATATAAAAAATTCTATGATGTCAAAAAAAAAAAATTGTATAAGAGTTCGACCAAAAAAGGAAATTGTATTAAACACGGATCGATAAAGGCATTCGCATGTATAATGTCAAAGTATAAAAGTAGAAAGACTTCAAGCATGTTGATAGAATAGACTAAGTGTCAAATCGGTGATTATTTTAAAAACGATGCACGCAAAGTCCACTAATCACAATATTAATATTTCTTTGACGCTTTTAAACACCATTTTAATAAACTTAATTAATGAGAATTCTGTTTTGACGGAGTAGTCAAATCAAAGAATTCTCTTCTATAGCTGTAAAGTAGAAGCATTATTTACATATATAATTTAATATACTCCCTCTGTTTCATTATAAGTGTCACTCTACAGCTGTGCACACGGATTAAGGAAACAATTAATTTTACATATTTCCTATATAAAAACACAGTTACCCGTACACCTAACCATATTTTAACCAATAGAAAAACAAATTACATAATAAAATTAATAAATATTGCATTGAAAATCGAAAACGACACTTATTTTGTAACGCAAAAAAATCTCTACAACGACACTTAATATGAAACGGAGGGAGTATATGGTTATAAAAGTCAAAGTATAAACACAAGAAACAATTGTACTTTGTTACCAGTGAATGACATAACAAACCATATAGTATAATCTTAGAAAAAACTTTCTTTTTTTCTCCATCTCAAATCTCTAGTAAATGGCATAACAGGAGTTTTTTTTGAACATTCATAACAAGAGTTTTTTTTTCCATATAGTATAATCTAACAAAAATGTATAAGTTATATATCAGTTGACAAACATCTGAAATTGTAACTATAAATTAACAAGTTCTCAACTTCGATTTTACTTATGGATATTGAATTATTCATTCCTTGTTTTCGATCTTGTGATTATCTAAAACAAATGCATATAAACTTATGTTTAAGCTTATATTGTTTGGCTTTACGATGTACATGTAAACTTTGATCAGTTTGCCCTTAGTTTATTGTATTATAGGTGTATCATGTAAGAAATGCCTACATTTCCGTTGCATGTAACCTCTGGACTATACCTACCATTCCGTGTTTTTAAATGTATAGAATATAGACGATCTTGCTCACAACATAATAATACTGATTACGGCAATTTGCAGTATTTATATTTATTATAATAGAGACCATTTTCTTTGCTCTGAGTTCATTTGTTTTTTATTCATCAAGTGGTATAAGACCTCGGCTTTGGCCAAGAGAACTAACTTGGAGACTACTCTAGCTAGAAATGAACTAATAAATTAATACAATTATTTTATGGAAATAATTAACTAATTGATACAATTACAGAAATGTTAGTTCTTTTTAAAATTAAATTTTTAATTAAACTCAAGAAAAATGGTTCTTTTTTACAATAGTTGCATCATTTAATCAGAGCAAATTTCCTAAAGCTTGATCGCAAACAACTTTCTGAGCTGTTCTCGTATATATAGCTTGCAGCCACTGTTAAAGGCCTTCCACACACCGCCTGTCCGCGATCCTGACCAGCCTTGTGCGCATTTGTTTATCAGTGACACGGATCAGGTTTGAATGATACCGTGTTTTCGGATAAATTAAAGTAATGAGAAAAAGGAACACCTTACTTGTTAGAGTTGTAGAGTGACCAAGTCAAAAAGGCCCGACCACATAACAACACAACCTCTTTGGAAATTACATCAACACTGACATAACCTCATTGAAGTAATTTAATTTAGACCCACTTGCTGTATACAGCAACAAATATCAATGTTGAATAAAAAATAAAAAAGTCAACAAATATTTATATATGGATTATGGGTATCCATTTGAATTTGATTCGGATCTATTCGAATTTCAAGTTTTTGAGGTTAAAAATTTCAGCTTCATTCAGATATTTAAAATTTTTGGTATTTTTGTGGATTCGAGTTCAGATAACCCGTTTAACTTTTTAATATAAAATTCATAGATATTTAAAATTCTTAAAATCTAAAAGAAAATTATATATAAAATATAAATTTGAATAACATATGGAAAAATATATAAACTTAACAGAA